CTTGTTACCTATGGGACAGCTGTTAATAGCACTGCTGCAGACTAGTGGTTTTCAACCTTTTTTACGTGTTCTTTTTTTGTTTCTGGTTTTGGGGTCACATCCGGTAATGCGTAGGAGCGCCTCCTTGGTTTGGTGCTGGGTCACTCCTGGTGGTGTTCAGGGTACCACATAGTGCTGGGGCTCAAACCCGGGGCTCCCACATGCAAAGCCTGTGCTTGGCTCCTTGAGCTATCTCCCTGGCTCTTTGTTCGGTGAGGGAGATTCATTGATGCAGTTGGTGGCTGCTGCGGGGATAAGTTGTGGAGTGGGGCACAAATAAAATGCTGGCCTTGGTCCTGTGAAAAAGAAGCAGGGATGTGACCTGTTGAATAGGCTGGAAAGGGGATCCAAGGCCTGGAGGCATGCATTAATTCACCTGGTGAGTTGGGAGGGTAAAGAGAAGATGTTTGGAGCCATGGCTGCAAAAGGGGTTTTGAACCTTTTTTTAGAGAGAAGCTTTGAACTCGCCAGTATGGGTTGCTGTGCTGGTGTCTTTGAGGATCTTGTGGGTTCTTCTCAAGATGAGCCATTCCCCTTCAGAAACCCAAGAAGGAACACACCCCAATTCTGCTCCTTCATGTTCCACCTTGCTGTATGTTTGCTGGGGAGTTTCATCCCCACCACCCAAATGGGAAACTGAGGGAGAGTGGATGTTGGGTAATTGTTTGTTTGGGGAAACAAACAGTATGAAATACACACCCTGTAAACTCCATACTCCCTCCCGACCTGTGCAGGGTCTGGGGGGTGGGGGATGGGGGTGGGAGGCAGCTCTGACCTCCAAAGAGCATTTGGCCAGAAAGAGCCCAGAAGACCAAACTCATTGTCCAATAGGATATAACAGGATTCTCTAGAGGCCAGATAGATAGTACAGCAAGCAAGGTGCTTACCTTGCACTCCACCTACTGGAGTTTGCTCTCCCACACCCCTTATGGTCCCCCAAGCACCTCCTAGAGTGATCCCTGAGTGCAGTCAGGAGTAAACCCTAAACGCTGACAGGTGCCGCTCCCAAATTGAAAAAAAAAACAACAGGGCTCTGAGCATAGATCCCTATTTTGGGAGGGGCTAGGACACCCCTGGCAGTGTTTAGGAGGCTACTTCTGGCTTGGTGATTGCAGGTCATTCCCACCAATGTTCTGAGGATGGTGTGATACTCGGAATTTGAAGTAAGCAGACAAGGTTCTCACCACCATGGCAATTAATTCTTGAGAAGTAAAACAAAAAACAAGATGATTCAAAGAGGGTTACTCTGTCTCACCCTAAAGCAGCCCCACTTTGTGGACTCAGGAATTGAGGTCTCATAAGACTTGAAATGGCGCCTGTGGCAGCCCAGAGAAGGCTGGATCCTCCACCCCACCCCCACCTTCCTGAGAGAAGCTCCAGCAGGAACAAAGGGTTGCAATAAGGACACGCAGGTGGACACTCAAAGATCTCAGCTCTTTCCCTTGACAACACCATAGCAACGAACACTCTGACCTCCACAGAAAGCTCTGCGTGGGGGTAGTCTGGAACAAAACCTATAAAATCATCTCTGCAAAGGCAATCTAGAAACATCTCTGTTGAAATGGGGGAACGGAAGGGGAATGTAGCCCCCATCTTCATCTAAGATGCGTTTTTCAGTAATCCCCTCTGGAGAAGCCTGTGTTTTCTTGTGAATGCATTAGTCTTTCTCTTTCCTTCCTTCCTAATTTCTAAATACGACTATTTACTTCATTATTCATTTTTTTGGGAGGGAAGGTGTGTCCGAGGAGATCTGGGCAGAAATTTAGGATTTTGTTTTCTTTCCTGCAAAGAACAATTCCTTACTGCAGTCTGGGTTCCACAGCCCCCCAACCCTGAGAAATTGGGTAGCAGGGATCATTTCCCACTCTGGGCAGCGCAAGTGGAACCCAGGTGAGGTTTAACGATTGCCTTGAGATGGTGAGATGTTTCATTGCTGGTGACTCATCAGGTCTGTACTGTACCATCACAGACTCTCATCAGTCCTGAACCTCCCTAGGCATTTTCTGGTTGACTGAAAAAAGTCTTAAAATCCCATCTTGAGGTTGCCACCTCTCCCTTTTAAGCCTTGCCAATATGCAACATAGGTTGTGAAACTTGTATAACATACCTGCAACCCCCCCCCCCATTTCTCCAGAGATAAGCAGCTTGTGTGGTGCTGCTAGAAACACCTCGACTTCATTACATGGTAGATTTGGAATTAATTTTGGGTCCTTGTGCATGGAGAAATCTTTTACTGCTGTCGATTTTTTGTGTGTGTTACTCCATATTCAGTTAAGCAATGTGGCTGCAACCCATGGTTTCAGAAGTTAGGCTACGCAAGAGAGGTGGCTCAAGACGGTAAGTGGATGCTTTGGGTTCAATCTCTAGTACCACATAGTTCCCTGTGTACTGCACGGAGCGACTTCCACTCCAGCACTACGCCTGTAGTAGCCCCCTGAGCACCTCCTCCTATGGCTTCCCCCACAAAAAAGGAAAAAAGAAGCTAGCCCTCCTTTTTTCTCCCTGCTTCTGACCTTGTTACCTCCTTGTTTTCTTCCCTGTCTTACCTGTACCAACTTGATCTGTTAAGTAAAAAGGTTGTTAGACAGAAGATCTTTGATGATCAGTGTGCTAATCCACAGGAACTCAGAACAGATTACTATCAGCTGTCACAGATCCACAAAGAGCATTGAAATTTGTCCATCAGGTTAAAATGGGGAAAAAAGAAGCTAAGCTCCACATCCATGAAGACGGAGCAGGAGTGATAGTATAGTGGGTGGGATGTTTGCCCTTGCACACAGCAAACCTGGGTTTGAAAATCTTATGGCCCCTTATGGTCCCCAAGTCAGCCAGGAGTAATCCCTGAGTCCAGAGCCAGGAATTTCGCTTCAGCACTGCTGGCTGTGGCCTGAATATTAAAAAGAAAAAAGAAAAAGAAAGAGAAAATGAAGTACCTTGGAGACAGCTCTCAAAAGACAGATGTAAGAGGCTGCAGGAACACAATGCTGAAGAGTGTTTGTACCAGCCCCAGACTACTAGTTTAATGGGAGCTAATGGGAAAATCAGTCATTGAACCACTGAACACCCAGGGTCCCTCTGTCCAATGGGCAATGGTCATAGTGTGTATCCCATAGGCTGTTTGTGGCTCTAAGGGAGTCAATATTTATGAAGAGGCCAGAATAGCACCTGACACACACACACACACTCAGTGCTATTTGAATGTTGAATGTAAAATTAGCATACTCGACCAGAACGATAGTATAGCAGGAAGGGAGCTTGTCTTGCATGTGGCTGACCTAGCTTCAATCCCTTACAGCACATATTGAGTGAGCCCCCCTAGCATTGATCTATGAGCACATGGTCAGGAGTAACATCAGTGTGCTCCCTACCCCCAACACCCTTCTACCACAAGAAAAAGAGAATGTCAACGTGGGAAAAAGAAAGTCTCTGAAAATGACATGTTTGCAGGGAGGTAGTGTGGGGGTTGGCCCTTGCCTGGTGATACTTAGGACTACTATTGACTCTGTGCCTAAAGGGATCACTTCTGTAATACTCAAAGGATCTTTTGTGGTGCCAGGGATCAAACTGGGGTTGGCCACATGTAAGGCAAACACCTTAACCCACATATACTAGTAGGAAGTTAAAAACCCAGAGTTCAGGGGATGGAGAAATGACTCAAAGACCTGGAGAACCTGCTTTGCATGCAGGAGGCTCGGGTTCCATCCCAGGAATTGTATAGTCTCCACTGGGACTGGCACTTTATCACAGAACATGAAGTACACCCTGAACACCACGAGGTTTGGCCCCAAGTCAACGAAATAAAAAGAGACAAAATATTCAAAAGTAATGAAAAATGAACTCAGCTTTCATTTATTTATTTATTGGGTTTTTGGCCACATCTGGCAGTGCTCAGGGCTTACTCCTCGCTCTCTACATTCAGGGTCACTCCTGGAGTTGCTCAGAAACCATATAGGATACTAGGGATCAAACCTGGGTTAGCCTCATGCAAGGTAAATGCCCTACCTGTGGAACTATCTCTCTGGCCTCAACTATTATTTAGGCATCAAACATTCTCCAAAAGCTTGTGGGAGCTACAGGGAGGAGCCTACAGGGAGGTAAGAAATGAGGAAGGAGGGGCTTGACAAAATGATAGTATGGTGGGTAAGGAACTTAAGGCACTTGTCTTGCATGGCCAGCCCACCCACATTTGATACACTCTCCAGTCCCATCAAGAGTAATCTCTGAGCACAGAGCCAGGAGTAAGCTCTGAGCATTGCCGGGTGTGGCTCAAAAACTGAAAAAAAAAAAAAAAGAAATGAGTAAGGAAGCCTAGTGCTCACTGTTGTGGGGTGTTAGGAGAGGACTGGGATCCCAGATGCTTCCCAGTAATTAGAGAAAAAATTTCAACTCAATTACCCTTCAGGGGTCGGAGTGATAGTACAGCGGGGAGGGCATTTGCCTTGTAAGTGGTTGACCCGGGTTCAATCCCCGGCATCCCATATGGTCCCCCCAACCACCAACAGGAGTAATTCCTGAGTGCAGAGCCAGGAGTAACCCCTGAGTATTGCTGGGTGTGACCCAAAAAACGAAAAGAAAAAAATCAATTACCTTCGGGATGGCGATGTGCCTTGTGGCCCAAGCTGACTAGATGCTTTGGGGAGGAAGCAGGACAGACCAGTGACCACTCCCACAGAAGTGGGCCTTAGAGCTGTGCCACAGTAGCCTCTGCTGGTTCGAGGCCTGACAGCCAATCAGGGAGGATAGTTGGGGTCAGTTCGAGGGAGATGGGGCAGTTCGAGAAAGTAAGAAAGGACGAAGCGGACAGGAGCTGATCCAAAAGATGCATCCAAGCAGTCCAAGCAAGCAGGGCTCCAGTCTGATAGAGGAGGGTCCCAGCCTGTTCTAGGGAAGAGACCAGGCCCAGTGAGGGGCCCCTACAGGACTTGTTTCCCTTGCGGTTTTGTGCACTTCCTGTTCCCCAGCTCACTGCGGAAGTTCCTCTTCTTACCCTGCACCCAGAGACTAGCCGGAGAGACTAGAACAGAAGGCACCATGAGTGGGGTCCCCGTGGGAAGTCGGCCTGGGGGCCGCGGAGGACCAGGTGTTCAGCAGAACATTCCTTCCACCCTCCTCCAGGACCACGAGAATCAGCGAATCTTTGAGATGCTTGGACGGAAATGCTGGGTGAGCTGGGGCCTCCGCTGGCCCTCTCCTGTCTCTCTTCTTCCTTCCTCTTTCTCCTCTCTCTCCTCCTCTTCCCCATCCTTCTCTTCTCCTTTTTCTTTCTCCCTCCTTTCCCCATTCCCTCCCTATCATCTCTCAGAATCCACTTCTACCCTGCTCCCCGATTCCAGGAAGACCTCCCTACATGTCTCTCTTCGTTTCCTCGGGCGCTGCTGCTCTTCATGTTCTCCAGGCCCCTGATAGCAGTGTGCACGGAGGTCTAGGTCTGGCTCCCAGACCCTCTGACTGGATTCCACTGAATCCTGTTCTCGTTTCCCAGACATTGGCCACGGCAGTTGTTCAGCTGTACCTGGCGCTGCCCCCTGGAGCCGACCACTGGACCAAGGAGCATTGTGGGGCTGTGTGTTTTGTGAAGGATAACCCCCAGAAATCCTACTTCATCCGTCTTTACGGACTTCAGGTAAGGATACCTCCCTCCGACGACACATGTAAAACAGTTTTTAACCCAGGAACCCAAATTCCTGTGCATAATAGGCCCCCGAACTTCTTAGTGATCAGAGACCCTCTGAACCCCAGCACCAAAGACCTCATCAGACATTGAGTTCTTAGCCATTTTGAGTCTTCAGTGACTGATGTCAGAATCTCTATGTCAAGATATCTAAATCCAGGGCAGGGGTGATAGTACAGCGCAGGGGGGAGGGGGGATACTTGCGTGCTTGCCTTCTTGCACGCAGATGACCTGGGTTTGATCACTGGCATCCCATATGGTCGCCTGAGCACTTCCAAGAGTAATTTCTGAGTGCAGAGCCAGGAGTAACTCCTGAGCATTTCCGGGTATACCCTCCCTCCACCCCAAGAAAACCCCCACCAAACAAAGATCTCTAAACCCCCAGTTATTGTAGTATTCCTCCAAAGCCTAATTTGTTCCATAAGCTCCAAACAAATGACCTATTTGTGGGGGCGGAGGGCTAGCAGTATTGAACCCAGGACATCACACATGAAAGGCATATATTCTACTACAGAGATACATCCCTGGTCTTGAGCATCATCTTTTTTTTTTTACTTGAACCTCAAATCTGCAATAAACTAAGATTTTGGACCCTAGTTATCCCCCATCAAAATTTCTGAACCTCAGATGTTTGTTGGAAATCTGTTTCACAAACTGTATTTTTTTTGGTTTTTTTTGGGGGGTCACACCCAGCAAAGCACAGGGTTTACTCCTGGCTCTGCACTCAGGAATTACTCCTGACAGTGCTCAGGGGACCATATGCGATGCTGGGAATCAAACCTTGGTTGGTTGCGTGCAAGGCAAATGCCCTACCTGCTGTGCTATTGCTCCAGACCCTGTTTCACAAACTTTATTATTATTTTTTTGCTTTTTTGGGGGTCACACCTGGAGATACACAGGGGTTACTCCTGGCTCTGCACTCAGGAGTTACTCCTGGCGGTGCTCAGGGGACCATATGGGATGCTGAGAATCGAATCCGGGTCAGCCGTGTGCAAGGCAAACACCCTACCCGCTGTGCTATCTCTCCAGCTCCTGTTTCACAAACTTTAAACCTGAATATGCCATTGAATCCCAGACTCCAAATCTGTATTCATTTAAACCCACACTGTGGACCCCAGGGTTCTTTTATTACAAATCCTGAATACACCAAATGATGAGATAGTTCCTAAACCAAAGCTCTATACCATAAATGCCCAACCTGAATTCTACCGGCATAAATACCAAACTTGGGACTGGAGAAATAGTTTAGGAGCTAGGACACTTGCCTTGCATATGATCATATGGACATCCCCAGCATTCCATAGGGTCCCTTGAGACCTGCCAGAATTGATCCCTGACCACAGAACCAGGAGTGAGCCCTGAGAACTGTTGGGTGTGTTTCAAACCCCCATTCTGGGAATTTTTTTAGTCTATGGTTTACACCTGGCAATGCTCAGGGATCACTCCTGACTCTGCTCAGAAATTACTTCTGGTGATGCTCAGGGGCTCAGGGCACCCTATAGGATGTCAGAGATCAAACCCAGGTTGAGCTCATGCAATGCAAGAAAAGCACCTTACCCACTGTACTATCTCTTTTTTTTCTTTTTGGGTCACACCTGGCAATACTTAGGGGTTACTCCTGGCTCATGCACTTGGGAATTACTCCTGGCAGTACTCGGGGGACCATATGGCATGCTGGGAATCGAACCCGGGTCAGCTGCATGCAAGGCAAACGCCCTACCCACTGTGCTATTGCTCCAGCCCACCACTGTACTATCTCTTTGGTTGTGAGGAAAAATCATTTTTTGTTGTTGTGGTGTGGCACTAGGGATGGAACTCAGGGAACACAGGGATGGAACACATGCTAGGCAAGTGCTCTACCACTGAGCCACATCCCTGCCCCCTAAATTTATCCTTTAAGCCCATACCCATGGGTCAAGCCTAACCCCATCAAGATCCTGTGGTCATTAAATATTGGCCACATTCCTGAACCCAAACTGATATTCCACGAATATCAAACTGCACTTATCTTGCCTGAAACTGCCCCAAAATGCTGTGCCTAAATTTTAATCTCAAATCTGATTCCCAGCTTCCTAATACTGGAACTGTACATGTCTAAACGAAGGTCCCCATGAAGGCAGTGTGTGTGGTAGAGTTAATGTATGGGATCTTCTTCCTGGAGTCTGAAGGTCTCAAAATTGAGCCTCCAACTCCCTAAGGTTCAGTCCCTAAACCCTAAATCCAACCCTTCCAGCAGTGCATTATCTCCAAACCTTCAAATCTGACACTTAAACTCCACCTACCACTCTCTGATGCTGAAGCCAGTCTTTAAAACAGATTCAGGGGTACCTGATTCTGGCCAATTTACTCTGTGCTCAGAGAATGAGGTATGCCACCCCCAGGACACATGTCAGTGTCCATGTGTCCCTGATCCTGTCCCTTTCTAGGCTGGTCGACTGCTCTGGCAACAGGAGCTGTATTCCCAGCTGATCTACTCTACCCCGACCCCCTTCTTCCACACCTTCGCTGGGGATGTAAGTGATGACCTGACCCCTGGGCCTAAGGTGGGTTTGGAGGAGGAAATGGGGAAAGTTGGAGGGCCTAGAAAACTGTTTAATGTCAAGGTTTGTATAGGACTGCCAAGCAGGGCTGAACTTTGCAGACGAAGGAGAGGCTCAGGCCTTCCAGGCCCTGGTGCAGGAGAAGATCCAAAAAAGGAATCAGAGGCAAAGTGGAGGTGAGAAAGCCAGGACTGGGGTGGAGGGAGAAAAGGAAATCAGAGATGAGGGAAAGTGTGGGGAGGTGGAAAAACCCTTCTCATGGTTCTGTTTTCCCATAACCCCCTCCTGTCTCACTATAGACAGACGCCAGCTCCCACCACCACCAGCACCAGCCACTGAAGGTGAGTAGTGCAGAAAAAGTAGATTGGGTAGTAAGGCCATGCTCTTGAGCCTGTGGCAGGGCTGTGAGAGCTGTCTACTTGCTCCACCTTCCCAGAGAGAAGAGGAGGGCTCCCACCCCTGCCCCCGCACCCAGGAGGAGGCCAAGGGGGTGAGTGCTCATTCTTCCTTATGTCTCTGGGTAGATAATGAGGAATGGCTGGATGGCTGAATGGCTGGATTGATGGTTGGATGGATGAGTGGATGTGTGTGGATGTGTGCATGGGTGGGTGGGTGGATGGATGGATGGATAGGTGAGTGGGTGGAGGAGTGGCAAGTGGATGTATGGACAGATGTGTATCAGTGAGTAGGTGTCTTGAAGGAATGGTGGGTGGATAGGTGGATGGATGGTTGGAGGGATGGAAGGATGGGTGAGTGGATGGATGAATGGGTGGACGGGCAGATGGATGGATCAATCGATTTATCAATATGTGGGTGAATGTTTACACATGAATGGATTGGTGGGGGATACATGGTTAAGTGGGGAGAAATTTATGGGAGTAAAAATGTAGATGGATATGGAGATAGAGATATAAAGGTAGGTATACAGATACACAGGAAAATGGGTACATAGATAAACAAATGATTGAATTAATAAACAAGTGTCAGTGAAGGAACTGTGCAATGAATAACACAAAATTTCAGTCAGTGAATAAAGCAATAATTAAGTGAGGGAGTGGATGAATAATTTAACAGATTATACTAAACAGATAGTACAGGAGTAAAGACACGCTACACACTGCTTACCCAGATCGATACCAGGCACTGCATAGGATTCCCTGGCACTTCCAGGAGTAAACGCTGAACACTTTCAGGTATTGTTCCTCCCCCCATACACACACAATTAGTCAATGGACTAGTGAATGAAAAAGTCAATACTAAAGTGATAAGCGTGAGTGAACACATAAATACACTTGTGGTTTAATGTATTTAAGTTGAGAGAGTGAGCTGAGCGGGTTGAGCACATGCTTTGCATACTGGAGGCCCTGGGTACCATCCCAGGTATTGTCCCTGAAACACTGTCAGGAGCAGTTCCTGAGCACTGAGTTGGGAGCAACCATTGGCCACCACTGGGTATGACTCCCTAACAAAAAAGGGTAAAGACATAAAGACATGTATTAGTGAATGTCTGACTGGTTTGCATGACCCACCACTTCTCCATAAGCCCTGCTTGAATCCTTCCTCTTACCACTCCCTCCCTAACCATCAAACACAAATCCTGATTCCAATAGTCCTTTGACTAAGGATCCTCGATTTTAATTGGTAGGTATGTTTCAGTCACTGTATTTTCTCCACAGGCCCACCAGCTGGCCCAGTGGCACTGGGGCTAGTGACAGTAGATATCCAAAATCCAGACATCACAAGTTCACGGTACCGTGGGCTCCCAGCACCTGGGCCTGGACCCTCTGATAAGAAACGCTCTGGGAAGAAGAAGATCAGCAAGGCTGATATTGGTGCACCCAGTGGATTCAAGTAAGAACCTCTCCCCGGTGCACCCACAGATGCCAGGGCCTTGATGGTGGTGGGGGAGATGAACAGATGCCCAGGAGAAAAACCAAGTGTATGGAAGGATGAGGTGGGTATATGAGTAGATGATGGGTAGACTGGAGAGAGAAAAGTGAGGAACCAAGGGTACAAAATTTTAGGAGGCTGTTATTTTCAGGATCATGCAACTACAAGTCTTATGAGTAAGTGCCTCCTTAAATCTTGTATGGGTACATTGTATGACTGAAACGTAATCATGGAAGTTTGTGAGTCTGTAACTATATCTCACAGTGATTCATTAAAATAATTTTTTAAAAAAAATCAGAAGCAAAAATAATTTTGTACCCTAGTCTTCTCACCTCACCCTAGTGTAGGCTGGTGGGCCAGATGGATAGAAGAATTGGTGGGCTGGAGAAGGAATGGATAGGTGAATGAGAAATGGGTAGGTAGATGTCAGTAAGTAGATAGATGTATCACTAGATGGATATGGTTAATGGACCACAGACAAGGTGGACAAGGATAGCTAGGTAACCAGATAGGAAGACAAATGGACAGTTAACTAGATAAACAGATGTATGTGGTTGAATGATTAGAAAAATGAGTGGATGGATGGCAAGATGGGCACATGGATAGATGATGGGTGGATTGATATATATGTGAGGACAGATTGGTGAACACATGAATAAAGACAGTGGGCAGGTGAATGAGAATTGGGTGGGTAGATGGTGGTGGGTATATATCTGTAGACTGATGGGCCATGGACAAGGTGGCAGATGAATAGGGAGCAAAGGTTTTCTAGATCAGTGAGTGATCACCAACAGGCAAATGTGAAAGTCTAGGTGGACATGATGTGTGTAGAGAGAGGCACCACCAATTGAGGCCCCTTCTAATTTCATTATGGCTATGCTCACTCGTTGGCTTATTGATTAACATGTGACTTATTCATTGCCTTCCCCTGGACCCTTGGGCAGGGGAGGGCAAGAAGGCTTAACTGGATAGAGATAAAACTGAATTTTAATGGGTCTTCTCACTTCCCCCAGACATGTCAGCCACGTAGGGTGGGATCCCCAGAATGGATTTGATGTGAGTACCTTCAAATTCCCTTGAATCCCACTCATTTGCCCACTCACTCTTCCCACATCCCTCTCACATTCCTCTTTGGGGTGCACTCAAGGATAATCCATGCTTGTTCTTTCCTCACCTTATATCCCCGTCCTTGCCCTGGTCATTTCCTTCCTGGACAGGTGAATAATCTGGACCCAGATCTGCGGAGCCTGTTCTCCAGGGCAGGAATTAGTGAGGCCCAGCTCACTGATGCAGAAACCTCCAAACTGATTTATGACTTCATTGAGGACCAGGGTGGGCTGGAGGCAGTGCGGCAGGAGATGAGACGCCATGGTGAGCCCTCCCTGCTTTGGGATACCCCCTCTTTTCTAAACCTGGCAGCTGACTTTGAAGACACATGCTTCTGTCAATCCTGATGGGAACCCCTATATGGCTTAAATCAGGAGTTGAGCCGCTGAAGTATACATTTTACAGATGAGCACAACTGAGGCCTTGGAGAAACCAGGAATAATTTCTTTGTGTTCTTTCTTTCAGATCCACTCCCACCACCCCCACCACCATCCCGAGGAGGGAACCAGCCCCCACGCCCCCCTACTATGGGAACTAACAAGGGTCGTTCTGGTCCACTGCCCCCTGTTCCGTCAGGAGGGGCCCCACCACCACCAACACCCCGGGCACCCCCACCCCTGGGCCGAGGAGGCCCTCCACCTCCACCTCCTCCATCCACTGGACGTTCTGTACCCCCGCCCCCTCCCCCCTCTATGACTGGGAGTTCGCCACCACCTCCACCACCTCCACCACCACCTTGCCTTGGGGATGGACCTATCCCTCCACCACCTCCTCCCACTCTGGGGTCCATGGGGTGCCTGGCTCCTAGTGGGGGCCGGGGGGCCCTTTTGGATCAAATCCGGCAAGGAATTCAGCTGAACAAGGTGAGAAAGGGTCCATTCGAGGTGTTGTGGGTCAGGGACACAGGGGTGTACTGTGTCAGTTCAGATATTAGAAGACCCAGCCAATAAAGCAGAGCCCAGATTTGTGGGGTTCAGTGATAGGATTGGGAGGGGACTAACGTGTGTGGGAGAAGCAAGAATGAAGGGGCAGGATAAACTTTCACAGACAGACCCTGAACTCTTTGTGCCACCTCCCTTTGCTCACTTGTAGACTCCTGGTGCCCCAGAGAATTCAGCACTGGCGCCCCCACCTCAGAGCTCTGAGGGACTAGTGGGGGCACTGATGCATGTGATGCAAAAGAGAAGCAAAGCCATTCACTCTTCGGGTGAGTACCCCCTCCCAAATCACCCCATTTGTACTCACTCCTGCCAAAATAGTGACCCAGTTCCCACATCTAGTGGCTGCTTACAAGCAAACCCAATGTGCCAGATAGGACAAAGGTAAGGCATTTGCTTTGTACCTGCTAGTCTCAGCTTGACCCACAACAACCCATAGATCCCCTGAGCCTGACTAGGAGTGATCCTTGAGTGCAGAGCCAGCAGTAAACCCTGAGCACTGCTGGGTATGGTCACAAACCCCCAAAATAAATAAAAAATAATATTTAAAAGAACACCAAGAGAATCATCATCAAGGGTAGCCTCAGCCCTTCCTAGGATGAGAGTATTAACTGGCATCTTGAACCAGGCTCCTTCTCTGACCCCATTTACGTTGTCATTACAAATCAAGAACATAATAGCCTTGAGATTTGACTATATTGATAGTAACATTAATGCCTGCAATATTAACATTCATCAGCTGTGGCGAGTTGTGTTAACATTAGCCCACTATATTATGAAAAAAACCCTGGGGGAAGAGATAGTACAAAGGTTAAGGCTCTTTCCTTACATCCAGCCAACACTGGTTTGATTGCTGGCACCACATAGAATTTGCAAGCACTGACGTGAGTGACTCCTGAGCACAGAGCTAGGAATAGTCCCTGAAGACTGCCATGACTAATGCAAAAACCCAACACCCCCAAAAGAACCCATCTTTGGAAATAATATTAAATCTAATTCCATTATTAAATTAGATTAATGGGACCAGAGAGATAGTACAATGTGTAGAGCACTTGCTTTGCATGTGGTCAACCCAGATTCCATTGCCATATGGTCCCCTGTGCCCTACCAGAAGTGATTCCTGAGCACAGAGCCAGAAGTAAGCCCTGAGTACCACTGGGTGTGGCCCAAGGCCACAACCAAACACATTAGATTAGCAAATTACTCATGCGATGATATAATTAAGTCTTTTGGTGCAGGGAGGGGGTGTGCTTAGGAGGGCTTCTCCTGGCTCAATGCTTGGGAATCATTCCTGGGCGTGCTTGGGGCCCATGTAGAGCTGGGCATCAAACCCAGGCCTTTTACACACTAAGCATGTGCTCAGTTGTTTGAGTACTCTCCACAATGGCCTGACCCAGACATTTTTGTTTGTTTGTTTGTTTTTCCACCCACAAAGCAAAGAATAAAACCCTGACTATATTCAGGGCTTATTCCTTGCTTTGTGCTCAGGGATCACTCCTAGCAGTGTTTAGGGAACTATATGGGGTGTTGGGGATAGAACCCATGTCAGCAGCATGCAAGACATGCATCCTACCTGCTGTACTATTGCTTCTGGCTCCACTTTTCTTTTTGTTTATTTTTTGGCCACATCTGGAGATTCTCAGGGTATATTCCTAGCTCTGTGGTCAAGGATTACTCCTGGTGGGCTCAGGGGACCAGATGGAGTGTTGGGAATTGAACTCCAGTTGGTCGCATGCAAGGCCTACCTACTATGCTATTGTTTCAACCCCTGAAACCGATGTTTCATAATAATATTAACATTAGCCTCTTTATGTCAACAATGTTGTTTAAATAGGATGATGATATGAAGATAATGTTAACTTCAGTCAATTATGTGATAATATAATTATTATCTATACTATTGTGTAATTCTAGTATAATGGATAATTAATAGACAGTAATATCACATCAACCTGAGAGTGTGTCCATAAGATTAACATGAACCTGTTACAGAATAAAATGATAACAAGACTCACCTTTTGAGAATACCCATATATATATATATATATATATATATATATATATCTCAACAATATGTATTAGAGTCAGGGATATAGTTCAGTGGTAGAGCACATGCTTGGCATGTAGAAGGCCATGGGTTCCCTCCCTGGCATTCTAAAAACAACCCAAAACCAATATTAGCGTCATCCCACTATGAAACAATAATATACTAATTTACCTTTGCCAATCATATTTAAAATCTCCATGGTAAGTAAGAAGCCTGTTAACATTAACCCCTTTGTAACAGTATCCCAAATTAACACATCTGGGGAGGGCATGCCTAGCTATGCTTAGGGTTTATTTCTAGTTCTGCACTTAGGGATCACTTCTGGTTAGCATATGGAGTAACAGAGATCAAACCTGGGCAGCTGTTTACAAAGCAAGCGCCCTTGTACTGTAGCTCCAGCCCTTACTGTACTTTCACTTCAGCCCTCAAATGAACACATTTTTCTCAATAATATTTACTCTGCTCGAACGAGAAGCAAGATTCTAACTATTAACCCATACCTTGACCCCAAGCTGAAAACCCCAACTCTCCTTCCTCTGAAGGTATCCCTTCCTCATGTAACAGAAATGAATCTCAGATCTGCTTTTCCAGATACAGGGCCCTTAGTCCCTTAGGACTTCTCAAGACCTTAGGAAACCCCCACCCCCAGGAACCCTTCTACCCTTATTCCCTAACCCTGCCTCAAAACCTTTTCACCCATCATAAGTCCCTCTCTTTCTCTCTCTCTCTAGATGAAGGAGAGGACCAGGCCGGTGATGACGATGATGATGATGAATGGGATGACTGAGTCACCCTCCCCAGCTTTTTCCTGCACTCACTGCCCTGAACACCCCCACTCATGTCCGGCAGCTGTTTCTAGTTGCCCTTCGTTCTTGCTTCTAGGATCCCTAGTCCTATTCTTTCCCATCAACCCCTCCAATGCTATTCTCTGCTAGCTTCCTCCACCCCTCGCAGCAGTACTTGGCCCCCCTTTTCCATGAAATTTCTCAGGAATTTTTAGGATTTCTCAAGGATTTTTAATGGGTGGGAGAGGGATTTAGGCCATACCCGACAGTGCTCTGGGCTTATTCCTAGCTCTGTGCTCAGGAGTGACTCCTGGTGGTGCTCATGGGAATATATGTGGTGCCAGTGATTGTAATGGTGTGGACCACATGTAAGACAAGGTCTTAATCCCTGTACTATCTATCTCTCTGGCCTCAAGGATTTTTAAACAAAAATAAAAAACCCTGCATTTTGTTTCTGTAAGTCTATGTTTATATTCCAAATATGGGAATTAAAGTCCCTTTTCTCCAAAATCCCTTTTATTCACCTATTCCTCCTTAAACATTATTTGTTCCCTCAGTCATTTAGCCTGTGTCCCTGTTTCCTTCCTTCCTTCCTTCCTTCCTTCCTTCCTTCCTTCCTTCATTCCTTCCTCACCATTTGGGGTGCTAGGGACTGAACCTGGGTCAGCTGCATGAAAGGCAAACACCCTACCCTCTGTACTATTGCTTCAGTCCCCTGTCCTTTTTTTCTTTCTATGAACACTGTCAGGCTCAAATTTAGGGGCAGTGGATAAAAGTGTTTAACAAACAAATTAGCAAACAAACAATTCCTGTCCTTGTGGGGCTGATAGTCTGCATAAAGACATAGACAAGAAACAAGGAAACAGAAATAAGAGCTATATGCTACAAAGTGCTGAGGAAAAAAGAATATTCCTATGGAGAAATCAGGGAAAGCCATTTGGAGGAGGTGACAATTACATCCTAAAGAGAAAGAAATCAGTTAGGTAAATATTGGGGGAGGGTATTTCTAGGCAGAGGAAATAACTACTGCAAAGGCCCTGAGATGGGAGATGGTTTGCTTGAGGCTGGATTAGTGAGTGAGTGGTGGGAGAGCTATTTATTCATTTACTTCTTGACTTAAAGGGGTCTCAAAGTGAGGCCCAGGGATCCCTCCTGGGATTTTCTGCTAAATGGATCATCTGTTCAGTGTAAAAGCCTGAAGATTTGGTGGTACTCTGACCCATGGTGCTGAGGATTACTAGGGCCATTCAGGGTCATAAAACCTTAAGTGCTCAGAGCTTGCTTGGGAGAACCATGTGGTGCTGGGTATTGAACCTAGCTCTCCTGCATTCAAACCATACACTTAAACCATTGAGCTATCTCTCTGGCCCATGATTGAAAACTTTTCATATCTATAATCAAACTTTCCACTTCTGAAATCCAGTGGATTCAAGATTCCAAATTTCCTATCCTTATTAATTTTTTGGCCACACCCGGTGGTGCTCAGAGGACCATACATGATGCCAGAGATGCCAGGTCTGTTACATGCAAGGCAAGTGCCCTCCTTGCTGTATTATTGATCCAGCCCACCCCTTATTACTTTTTAAAAAATTGGTACTAGGGGCCAGAACGATAGGGTATTTGCCTTGCACACAGACCCTATATGGTCCCCTGAACCCACCAGAAGTGATCCCAGAGTGCAGAGCCAGGAATAAGTCCTGAACAGCTCTGGACTGGAACAGTACAGTAGGTAGGGCACTTGCCTTGCATGTGCAGACCTGGGTTCTAGACCCAGCACTCCATAATGCCCCTCAAGTCCTGTCAACAATGATTCTTGAGGGTCTGGAGCGATAGCACAGTGGGTAGGGTGTTTGCCTTGCAGGCGACTAACCCAAGTTCAATTCCTAGCATCCCATATGGTCCCCCGAACACTGCCAGGAGTAATTCCTGAGTGCATGAGCCCTTTGCATTGCGGAGTGTGACCCAAAAAGAAAAAAAAAGAATGATCCCTGAGTGCAGAGTCAGGAGTAAGCCCTGAGCACCACCACCCTGAAATCCACCCCCCAAAAAATTGATGCTAGGGATGGAAGCTAGATACCTCTCATATGTGAGGTATGAGCTCTACCACTGAGGAACCTCCTCAGACCCCATCTAACCTTGAGAGTTGGAAGAAGGAGACAGAAATAAGGTACAACCTGAGAGGGTAAGTCTAGGCTTCTTCCACCTGCAAGAACAGTGAGAAAATAACTGTACCGTGCAGGGCGAGGGTGTGAGTTAGGAGAGGGAAGAAGCAAGGGAGGTGTTGGTGGTAGCTGGGGTTTGGAGGCAGCGGTGTGGGGAGTGGGGACTAGCTTTGCCACCAGTGAATTTCCCTGGACACTGACTGAGGGAGTCTCAAATTCTCCTTCATTTGTTCATTATTTTCCACTAGTCATACCACATCGGTCAGGTCTGGGGGTAAGCTCTGAATCTAGAATGGGGTTATTTTATTATATACTCCCTGTTGCACTGTCCCTGTCCATGAAATTCTAGAGATACAGGGTTCTGGAACCCTTTCAGCAGACACTGTCCTGGAAAAGCCCTTTTATTACATAACTATTGAATCCCCAGAAGCACCAGCTGGAAAAGGCAAAGATTTGGGCTAATATACTTGACTATGGGGGATGAAGACACAGCAAGGTAGCTAAGGCACTTGTCTTGCACATAGTCACCCTGGGTTTGATCCCTGTCACCCCATGTCGTCCCCAACACCATAATCTCCAAGATACACACTTTTAAATGTTTTATTTTCAGGAATTGAAAAAATATATATCTTAGTTTTGGTGTCACACCAGTAGTGCTCAGAACTTACTTCTGGCTCTTCATTCAGGGATCACTCTTGCTAGGGATCAAACCTGGGTCAACTGTGCAAAAGGCAAGTGCCCTATTCACTGTATTATCACTCTGTTCCCTGAAAACAGTATTTTTCTAGAAAGAAAAATTGCTTATCTTTAGAGAAGTACGTGAAAATTTAGCCATATTTAAATCATTGGTTTAGGAAAGATAGTATAGAGGATATGGTACTTGCCTTGTACATTGTGGATCCCAGTTTGATGTTTGTCACCACATAGGGTCCCTTGAGAACCACTAGGAGTGATTTCTGAGCACAGATCTGAGAGTAAGCCCTGAGCATCTCGAGTGTGGCCCCCAAACCTAAAAAAAGAAATTTAAAACAAAAAGCAGCAACCATACTTAAATATGAATCAATTTGGCATCCTAACATATAAACAAGACACATATCAGGTCTCATTTTTTAACACCCAACTTTCAACAAAAATCAAATAAATTAGATGGATTTCCAAAATTAAGAAATTGAGGGTTGGAGTGATAGTACAGTTGGTAAGGCACTTGCCTGTCATGTGATTGACCGAGGTTCTACCTCTGGCACCCCATATGGTCTCCAGAGCCTTGTCAGGAATGAACACAGAGCAAGGAAAAAGCCCTGAGCACTGACCCCTTCTGCCCCCCAAAAAGAAAGAAAATTAAGAATTTGAGTTGCAGGGCATCGATAAAAGGACCAGTTTGGGTATTTAAGCCATGGATCAGAGGGAGCTGTGTTAGCTCCCAACAACTGTGGGGATTTCATTTTGCTCAGAACGTATGGCTCCAACTATATTGCATCTTGGAAGAACAAGCCTCTGCCAGCACCCCAAGGAGAGGGTGGGGACACCTTCATGGCATTGGGGAGATAGACAGGTTCCACAGATGAAACTGGATAGGGTACACAGCTGACTTTTCTTCTCTCCTAAAAAAGAGGACATAGAAGAGAGAACTACAACAGCAACAAAAAAGCTGCTTTGGCTTCTGGGGAGAAATCACTTTTAGAGTAAAGCTGAAAATCCCTCAGGCTTCCTCTCCTAATTCTCTCACCCAAAAAATGAGAGTTTGTATTGTGCCTGGAGCAAAGCGATGCAATGATCACATTTCTTAAACAATGTCTTAGTTAACCCCAGAGCCAAAATCGGGTCTTTGCATTGTTTGTGCGAACCTTGCTTTGATGAGCAGGCTTTTCTGTGCTAGTGCTATATAGTTGTGAGCAGGCTTGCTGCAGCCTACCCCCGCCCCCCCCCACCCCAGTTATCCTGGAATTTTACCGTTGCGACTAGTTTTTGGCCTACAGACTTGCTTCCATTATGGAAAAGGGGTATAGTGCTCAGGATTCCCCGTCCCCCCTGCCACGTGTATCTAGAAAGCAGAATATTCACAGAGCAGGCCATCCAAGGAGAAATCCAGAGGAGGTATGGAGCCTGTTTTTTTTCAATTGCTGTTCCCACTGACTCACAGGGGCTTAGCAGGTAAACAGAAGCAGGTGGTGTTTTTTGTACGTGTTGTTCTTTGCTCTTGTCCTCTCCCCCATGTTCTTTTAGAGGTTTTGACTGTATTCAGAAGTTGCTAACTGCAATGTTCTCTGGGTTAGAATTTTAAAGGTTCTTTTGTCTCTTATGTCCCCCTGAGCAATGCCAGGAGTCATTCCTGAGTGCAGAACCAGGAGTAATCCCTGAGCATTGCAGGGTGTGACCCAAAAAGCCAAAAAAAGAAATTCCTCTGTCCCAAGAACCCTCTGCTCTTCATTCAACACAAGAGTGCAATTTACTTTTTACACCAAACTTTCTTAATATCCCCTCTCCCCCTTTTCCCCTGCCTCCACAGCATGCTTGTAACACTTCCTCTCTCACTCTACCTTTTTTTCCATTTCTCTCCTCCTCCTCCCCCTTTTCTTCCTCCTCCTTCTCCTTTTTTTTGGCCCACACCCTGCTGTGCTTGGGGCTAACTCCTGGCTCTGTATTCAAGGGTTGCTCCTAGCATGACTTGGGGGACCATATGTGGTGCTGGGATCGAACCAAGGTCAGCCATGTGAAAATAAAGCACTCCACCCACTGTACTGTCAGCCCCGGCCTCCAAACATTTTTAGAAAAAAGTTCAGGCTTGTTCAAGTTCTTATGGCTTTGGGCAGGGAGATGACTTTCTAGGATTTTGTTTTCCTTTAGGAAGTGATGTCACCATATCAATATCTTCCTTGTCCAATCCAAATATCTTTCTGCAATGGCATTTTCTCTGGGCCTGTGAGTGGGGAGGGAGCTTTTACATTTTCCTGGGGGTTTGGCGCAAAATTCACTTGCTCCTTTGAAATCAGAGTTTCATGGAAACCTTTAGAGACAAGGAAGCATCTCTTCCAAGGAGAAACAATTTCCTGTCACTAGGAGTATGCATGCGCCTCTGTGGAGCCTCACTGCTCCTCTGGGGCTTTGTGCTTGCTCAGTCAGTGTCCTTCCTGCCTCTTTCCAAAGAGGGTAATGAACTGAAGAGATAATACTGGTGATAAAGTGCTTTTCTGGTCTATGGACTGACTTGGGTTTGATCTACATGGTGCATGGCTTACACTGTTCACTGTGCCATTCATGTAAAGCTGGGGTTAGTGGAACCTCAGCCACTCCTCCACCCTGCACAGCTGGACTGGTAGACAAACCAAAGAACTCTTTGCTTAATTGTATAACCGTTTGGTTGACTACATAACTCAAAGCCCAACAGGGAGAAGGGCAATTTGAAGTACTGACAATGTGGTTTCCTGATGCTGTGAGGTGCTAAATATCAAACTGAATTACTGCCCACTCGGGATTGGCTGGTGTTGATGATCTGATGGGGTTGAAGAAGAGAAGCAGCCTCTGAGGGACCGTATGGTTGATGATATGGGGTGTAGTTAGACTTACTCAATAGGAGTCACACCTATCCCAAGGGGGTGTCTGGACTTTCTACTGGTGGGGTGTCAAGAAGGGCTATCCTGAGGGTATTTTAACCTTGAAGAAAGGGAAAATGAGCAATTATTTCTGGTGATGCTCTGAGGCAATCACAGCCTGCTTGTCCTGTATGCTCAGCTGCTGGGAAGGGGTAGCTACTGAAAATGTGCTGAGGGGCTGACTGAAAAAGTCACAGGCCAGTTGAGCAACTGAAAGGTCAGCTTGGCTTTCCTCTTCCAGGGTTAGAATCACAGTCTTGGGGGAGGGGTCTGGGGATATAGTTACATTGCGTGGGGCTCTTGCCTTGCAGGCAGCCGATCTGGATTTGATCACCAGCATTCCACAGGGTTCTTTTTTTATGGTATTTTTTAAAAATAATTTTTATTGGAGAGTGTGGAGAGTGAGACCACTCTCCACACACATGAAGGTACCGGCAGAGGAACAAAGGCATACAGGTCCCGGGGCTGAGATCTCCAAGCCTGCTCAGATCAGGGCTGAGCATCCTCCACCCAGATCCTCCAAATTCCAGTAGGCAGGGGTCACACCCACCAACTGGTCCCCTGGCGCCGTGTAATCCCATCAACGGCCAAGACCCAGAGACTATAAAACCCAGCTCCCGGAAGCGCACGGCCGATATCTTATCTCATTCTTACTTTGGACAAACTGGCAGGTTACCGAATGTAACCTGCCCACACGGCAGAGTCTGGCAAACTCCCCGTGGTGTACCCAATATGCCAAATACCAGTAACAATGATGGGTCTCATTCTCCTAACCCTGAAAGAGCCTTGAATATGGCACTTTTAAAAAAATATCTCAGGGCTAGGATGAAGGAGACATTACTGGGGCCTGCTCGAGGTAATTGACGAATAACAGGATGGTCGTGATCATGAATTTTTATTAGTGACACAGCGTTCTTTGAGCTTTGCCAGGAGTGATCGCGAAGTGCAGAGCCAGGAATAACCCCTGTGCATTACTGGGTGTGCACCCCTCTCAGACAAAAACCTCCCATCAAGAATCATGACTCCGAAGGGGGCCCAAATACTGATCTGTGGACTCTATGTGCTAGCTCCCTTGCTAGGCATCCCCTGCTGAGAAATGACAGACTGCCAATCCTTTATAATGACAGGTAATCTGGTGGTTAAATTGCTGTGAATTTTGTTCTGGGATATAACTGTTGGATCTGGGGCTGAAGGAGAGGTGAACCTAAGGAAAGTGAACTGGCTGAGAACGGGACTACCTAATGAAGCTATGATGAGGTGAGGATGATGACAGCCAGTTTGGGCCTAATCTTAGCAAAATGAGGGTCTGGGTGGTTGCTGGGGCTCACTGAACAGAGCTAAGCTTCCTCACAGTTAATACGAGGTTACTCTCAGTGCAAGGTTCAATAAATGTGTTGCTAGACTGACAGTGAGGAGGGGGATAGTGGAAGAGGAATGACAGGTTGTCTGACTAAAAGTGTCTGTCCGAAGGGATTCATAGCTGGATTCTGGCCATGAATGGATTTGCCACCGACTGAATGACAATGAATTGGGGCTGTGGGTTCGACTTTAAGACTTCATGCCAGGCCTGAGCGATAATACAGCGGGTAGGACGTTCGCCTTGCACGCCCCAGACCTGAGTTCGATCCCCGGGTTTGATCCCTGGCATCCTGTATGGTCCCCCGAGCACCACCAGGAGTAATTTCTGAGTGAATTTTTGAGTGCAGAGCGGGGAGTAACCCTTGAGCACTGCCGGGCGAGAGCCATAAAAGCCGGAAAAAAAGAGGCATGTGATGCCCTCCTACCGTCTGATTAAGTCAGATGGTGGAGCAGTTGTACGCAGCGACGGTGCAGCCAGGGAGCAAAGGCCTACTCAGAGTTAAAATGTGGTGACGAGCTGATTGACAGATAATTGAGGGTCTGACACGACAGAGAACTCCCTCCCTCCCCCGCGCTTGGCAGGCTGACAACGTAATAGGCTGACAGTGTGACGGACAGACCTGCGGAAGCAAGCAGGCAAGGAGGCAGGGAGGAGTCTGGTAACAGTCTGCTAATTGGTCTGTACCGGCGCTGCTCGCGCTGATTTCCTCCAATAGTCTGTCCATTCTCGGCCACGCCCGCGCGAGTCTTTTCTCGCGAGGCCGGTTAGGCCCGAATGTCGTTAGCTGTGGAGAAAGATGGCGGAAAATTTAAAAGGTGAAGCAGTGGCGGCAGCGGCACGGGCCCGTTGGCCGAGCCGGGTGGGCGGGAGGGGTAAGCGTCGCGGGCTCAGCGTCCCGGCGTCAGGGCTCACGGAGCTGGGAGCCAGAAGCCTGGCGCCGAAAGCATGGGGCTCTGGGAGCGCGGGCCCGGCGCTCGGGGCTGGGCGGGGCTGAGGGGAAGGGGCGCTCGCCTCCGGACGCGGCGGGGATGAGGGTAAATGGGGACACAAGAAGGGGGCGCGCGACTTAGATCGCGACTGGAGGATGCGCGCACGCGCGGGGGCTTGTCGGGAGGCCTCACCCGCGCGCGGGAAAATTGGCCGCCGCCGGTGACCGTTACCCTCTTGGTGTCCACGCGAGACGCCGGAAGGGGAGGGAAGGGAAGGGGACGGACCTTCTTTTAGAGTGGGGGTACAGGGTCCTCTTCGGGGGAGGAGATCTGTGCTTGCAGCCTGTGGCAGGAAGGGCTTTTGCGATAGAGGACGCCCCTAATGAAGAGGGAGAAGGAAGGTGCAATAATTGGAGAGTCCGACTGCCCCTGTGTGATGGGGGAAAGGGGTGCGTTTCTCAGTTTGTTTGACTGGGGGCTTCCTGGGTGAGGAAAGCAGCCCGGAGAATGGGCTCCACAAGTGAGGGGGAAGGGAGACCTGTGAGGCGGTCAGTATGGAGCCATATTATTTGAGCTGTGTTTTGGTGTGTGTGTGTGTTTGTGTGTGTTGTGTTTTGGTGTGTGTGTGTGTGTGTGGTTTCAAGTGTAAATTAAAGGACTTGAAAAGAAGCGAAGAGGTATCTTGGGGAAAGGGGTTTAAAAAACAACAATGTGATCACCGGCATGACGCCACTAGGCCTAAGTGGAGGGAGGAAATGCCCATGGAAGATTCTGGTAAAGCTTGACAGCCAATGTTATTTATTTCTCAAGAGTTGAAGTTGTGTTACGTTGAATTAATTTACAGTTGGGTCAACTGTTGAACATTTTCAAAAGATAATCTGAGGCAAAGATGGCATTTGTCACGTGGGGTTTGAGAGGTGATTTGATAAAATGGCTTCTAGTGCTCGTTGAGAATGTGCATTGGATTTGAAGTCTTTTTTTTTAAAAAATGTGTATGGAAAATGTTTGATCCTTAGCAGGTGGGATTTTCAGTGCCACTCTCTTTGTTCTGTTTTTGTTTGGGGGCCACACCCAGCTGTGTTTAGGGGCTGTTCTTTGGCTCTGGGCTGGGGAGTGATCCCTGAAGTGCCAGGGATCTGAACTGGGGTTCAGCTGTGTGCAAATCAAGTGCCTTAATCCCTGTGCTGTCTCTCCGCCACTCACTCTATTATACCTTTATTTCGCTCACTGAATGTACAAATTCAGACCCAACTTTCATAATGTGTTTGATTAGGCCTTGATGCCCTTGACCACATTGGGGTTGTTAGGCAACAGTGTGGGATGTATCCAGAACTGCACTTGTGAGATCCAAAACAAATTGAATTCCAAATCACATCTGGCCTCAGGAGTTCGAGATAAGGGACTGTGGGACTCGTCTTTCCAGTTAACACCTTCCTTGAATCCCCTGGAAGTTTGACTCCCATTTCCACCCACCTCCTTAGGGTAGTGTACCCTATTTAGATGTTGGAGAGTGGTGTTCACATTCTTTTGACAAATAGAGGGAAAGGTGAATAGGCCCTAATTCAAGACTTGTGCACAGCTTTAGGAATTGTATGGAAAAGGAGTTGACAGCTCTGGGAGCAGATTCTTTGCTAGCCACACAGCACATAAACCCACTTTTGGATGTGAGCTGCTTCAGTGGTAGATGGGGACATAGAGCTCTGGGGTTAAAGGAACTGGCACACTTTTTTTTGTTTTTGCTTTTTGGGCATACCCAGCAGTGATCAGGGGGTTTACTACTGGCTCTGCCCTATGGGATCACTCCTGGTGGTCTTGGGGGCCCTTCTGGGGTGCTGGGGATTGAAATTGAGTCGGATGTATGCAAGGTAAACATCCTACCATCTTGGAAGGAATTACTGATTTGAGAAAGCCTTTGGATGAAAAATTTCTGGGACAATAGGGCAGTCCTTGGTAAGCTCCCTGGAGGCTTTAGGGTCCCCTTGGCTCCCTGGCCCACCAACCCACCCTGTAATCATTTTTCCTGTTGGCCATGTCCTAGGCTGTAGCGTGTGCTGCAAGTCTTCATGGAATCAGCTCCAGGATCTGTGCCGCCTGGCCAAGCTCTCCTGCCCCGAGCTTGGCATCTCTAAGAGGAACCTCTGTGATTTTGAAGTCGAGTACCTGTGTGATTACAAGAAGATCCGAGTGAGTCTGGGGGTATAATGAGTCTGGGAGCGGGGCTTGTGGGGGAGGTGGTCCATGGTCTTGGGGGGAGCTCGTCAAGGAAGTTGATTTTCTGCTCTCTCTGCCTCCTCCTACTCCAGTCTGGTTTCCAGAAGCATTTTCTCCTCTGAACTGGGAAGCTAGATTAGTAGGTCCTCTTAGTATTCCCATTTGGAAAGGTAGTTAAGTGACCCAAAAGGGCAGGAGCCTAGACTGAATCCCCTAATAAATCTTTTCTTTCCATCTTCTCAGGAACACAAACCAGTGGCAAAGAATCAGAGGTTGAGCTCAGGTGTGGACATGCTGCTAGTTAATGGTTATTGAGCCCTGTCACTGTGCCAAGCACATCCTTCCGTTGGGGAAACTCATTTTGTTCCCCCTACCCGCTACACTGGGAACTGTTATTATTGTCAGAAAAGATATTGCAGGGCAGTGAAGGTAACAGACTGGGACCAATATGCTTGGGTTCCAATCCTGGCTGTATAACTCCAGGACACTTACCCCAGTTCTCAATGCCTCCATTTTCCTTATCTTTGGGGTGGAATTGGTCTTCCCTCTGTCACACAGAGTTGTAAAGATTAAATAAGTCATGATACAGGTTGCTGAGAACAACCAGTGCCTGCTCCATAATGAAAGCTTAGAGCAATGTTGCTTTTTAAATATCTGGTTAAAAGGGCCTATCTCACAGTGATTCAATAAAAAATTTTTAAAAATTAAAATTAAAAACAAATAAATATCCAGGGAAAGAAGCAGCCCCATTCCCTCCAACCCCCAAAGTTAAATAGCTTGTCTGCTTGAGGCCACACAGTGATGGAGTAGGTTCAGGATTCCTTCCCAGACATAGAGAAAAACTGGAGTTAAACCCGGTTTTTGGCTGCCAGGCCAGGCTTATCTGGCTGTTGTGTGCTAAATAAACAGGCTGTGGGCAAGGGCCATTCCAGAGGGACCTGCATGGAGGCTGTTGTGAGATTTTCTGGAGCAGTGACAGTGAGGGTAGTGAAGAGTGAAGTGGGAAGATTAGGAATGGTGTCTGAAGGTGGATGTGGGCGTGTGAGAAAAAGGAGTCTAGAAAAACCTTTGGGGCCAGCACTGGAAGGATGGAGCTGATAATAGGGAAGAGGGATGAGAAAGGATCAGGCTTGAATATGAAGTTGGAATTTAGGGCTCAGAGAGCTAGTACAGGAGCTGCAGTTAGCCTGGTGCAATCCAGCATCTCCATGGGCCCCTGAGCATTGCCAGGTGCAACCCTGGAGGTCCCCCAAGCACTGCCCATGTCACCACAGGCCCCTATATTCACCTACCAGCCTTGTTTGCTAAGAATCACCAGGAGGAGCCCCTGGACCTCCTGGTCACAGATTGGGAAGTCCATCCCCCCTTGAAAAAACCCCTGAAAAACAAAACGACCCCAAAAAGTGAGGATTAAGCTCAAGTAAGGAGAAAGCATATTTTGAACCTAGTGGTTCTCACTGTAACCTATGTATCTTTTTTTTTTTGATTGGTAGGGGGTGCATTTCTGGAGGTGTGCTTCCAGTCATGCGGTGTCTGGGCTCAAACCCAGAACTGCATGTGAAAGCAAGATGCCTACTCTTGGGGCCATCTGCCCAGCCCCAGCAAAGGCTTTTGGCCCCTGTGTGGTCATTCTAAAGGAGGGGAAGGAGTGGTTTGGGTGTTGGCCAGAGCCTTTGAGATAGAAATACCACCTTTTATGGTTTCCTCCTCCCTGCCCCCTTCACAGGAACAGGAATATTATTTAGTAAAATGGCGTGGCTATCCAGACTCAGAGAATACCTGGGAGCCTCGGCAGAATCTCAAGTGCGTGCGTATTCTGAAGCAGTTCCACAAGGACTTAGAATCGGAGCTGCTCCGCCGGCATCGTCGCTCCAAGCCACCTCGGCACCTTGACCCCACCTTGTCCAGCTACCTGGTGCAGAAAGCCAAGCAGAGGCAGGCACTCCAGCGTTGGGAGCAGGAGCTCAATGCCAAGCGCAGCCACCTGGGACGCATCACCGTGGAGAATGAAGTGGACCTGGATGGTCCCCCGCGGGCCTTCGTGTACATCAATGAATACCGGGTGGGTGAGGGCATCACTCTTAACCAGGTGGCTGTGGGCTGCGAGTGCCAAGACTGTCTGTGGGAGCCGGTCGGAGGCTGCTGCCCTGGGGCATCCTTGCACAAGTTTGCCTACAACGACCAGGGCCAAGTTCGTCTGAGAGCTGGGCTGCCCATCTACGAGTGCAACTCTCGCTGCCGCTGTGGTTATGACTGCCCCAACCGCGTGGTGCAGAAGGGCATCCGCTATGACCTCTGCATCTTCCGCACAGACGATGGGCGCGGCTGGGGTGTCCGTACCCTGGAGAAGATCCGCAAGAACAGCTTCGTCATGGAGTATGTGGGAGAGGTAGGGAGACAGGCCATGTGTGTGTATGTGTGTGTGTGTGAAGGCTCACATCTGTGGCTCTTTCCTCCATGTGATTCCACTGTGTGTGCTCAGCTTCTCTCACTGTGTGGCAGCAGCATCCCCTGCTTTTCCTGGGGGGAGGGGGGTTAACCCAGAGGTGATAGAGACATGATACATGCTGGCAAGGTGTACAGTAGGTGGCCACAGTTGTTAGAGATACACTGAAATGCTTCCAGATGGCATTGCCTTCTTGTTCTCTATTTTTGGTTTTGGGGCCACACCTGGCAGTGTTCAGGACTTACTCCTGTCTCTGCATTCAGGAATTACTGCTGGCAGGGCTCAGGGCTGTGGGGTGTCGGGTATCTAACTGATCAGTCATATGTGAGGCAAGCATCCTGACAATTGTACTGTCTGCCTGGCCTGCTATATTGACTTCTTATGTATATCTGGAACAGAAGAGTTGGGTGTGCACACTAGGTAGCGTTCCTCTATGGACTCTGTTCTATCTGGACAGTCTTGTGTCTCCTGTAAAGACACAGCCCCTTACACAGGTCCTGCTTATGACCAAGCTGTGTCTTCTGAGAGGAGTGGCATTTCCTAGGTGGTGCCAATAGAATACAATCTGGGGTAGCAGGTACAATGCGTCCCGTGAAGATTGACTCCCCTCCTCTGGACTGCTGCAGGGTTGGGTGTGTTTGGCAGGTGGGCACCTAAGGACACAGCCCCCAGGTCTTAACTTGTGGCTTCACACATTAAAATCTCGTTGACTCCTAAAACCATGCAGCAGGGCTGGGGTGGCATCTTTTCCCACAGTGGCATGGCCCCACATGCTCTTTCCCCTTTTGTGCCTTTTGTGGGCCACCTGAGCCTCCTCTGAACCTAAGCATTGCCTGTCATGCAGCGAGTCTTGGGAGAAGGGTAAGTTCCTAATGGGCCAGCACTTCTACACATGCCAACTGCCTGGCATCAAGTCACTGGCCTGGCTGCACAGGCGGCTGGGAAATGGGCTTTAGCTGTGTACCCAGGCAATGAATGAAAGGAGTTACGGGAACAACTAGTGGGTGTCTGCAATAGCTGGAGTCACGTTGTAAGTCTGTTGTGGGGTGCAGTTCTTGGTTCTTCAGGAACCAGCTCACACCCTGGGGATGTTTAGCAGCTTTAACTAATACCATTCAAATCTCTGAGTATTCTTAGCCACAGGACACCTCAACACGTTTCCACCCCCACAGGTCTATTTTTGTTTGTTTGGGGGCCACACCCAGCAGTGCTCAGGGGTCATTCCTGGCTCTGAATTCAGGAATCACTCCTGGCTAGCTTGGGGGACCATATGGGATGCCAGGGATTGAACCTGGGTTGGCTATGTGCAAGGTGAATGCACTTGCTGCTATGCTATCGTTCCAGCCCCATATTCCCACATGTCTTAGGGGTTGATAGGTTTGTGAAGGGACAGAAAGGGCTCAGAGTGTCATAGCAAAATGTGTCCATACTACAGTTGTGACATGGCTGGAAAGCTCCTACTGTCAAGCAAATGCAGGCTGCACACCTCTAGTTGAGGGAACCCCCACACTCCAGATACTCTTGCTGGTCTGGCAGAAGAATGGCAAAATATGGAAGAACAAATAGGGTAGAGGAAGGAGGGGTGTCCGCACCCCCAAAGGCTTCTTAACCTTCTCAAGGCTGGACATTCTGACAATCTGCAGTGTGAGTGGGAAGAAGTAAATGAGTCCCCCACATTGTAGAGTCCCCACACGAGAGTCTGCAGAAGTGCCCACATCCACAGCCCTGCCTGTCGGGAAAGAAATGTCCTTAGAGCAGGGGCACTGTGACCTGAAGGAGAGCAGGTCTTTACACCAGAGGGCTCTCCCGGAAGTGCCCATATCCAAGTGCTCTCACACTATGGAGGAGGTGTTGCTATTTTTTTATGTGTGTGTGTGTTTTTGCTTTTTGGGTCACACTCAGCGATGCATACTCCTGGTTCATGCACTCAGGAATTACTCCTGGCAGTGCTCAGGGGACCATATGGGATGCTGGGAATCAAACCGGGGTCAGGCCGCGTGCAAGGCAAACGCCGCTGTGCTATCACCCCAGGAGGTGTTGATATTAACAAGCTTGGGGAAGTGTTGATATTAACAGGCTTGGGGAACTCACTAGTCTGGAGGAGGTGTCCAGAGCCTATAGGAGCCTCAGCAGTCTTTGAACAACCCCATAGCAGAGAAAGCTTTTCATCTTGTGATCATCTTGAGGGAAAGCTTTTTATGGCATGGATCAGGGAGAGTATGTCCACCAGAGGTACTCCTTCTGTCCACCTCTCTCTACTTTGCTTCTATGTTCTTACTGTGCCTCACTATAACCATCAGGGGTTCCAGGGATCCTACCTTTCCCTCTTTGCCCTCACCCTCCACATACTCTCTTGGTGTAGTTTGAGTCACTCTTGGTAGTGCTCAGGGATTACTCCTGGTTCTGTGCTCAGGGATACTCCTGGTGGGGCTTGGGAATCTAATGTGGTGCCGGGGATCAAACCGGGGTCAACCATGTGCTGGCAAGTGCCTTAACCCTGTACTTTCTCTCTCTCTGGCCCCCATATATTTTAGAGTTATTTCTGGCCTCCCTTCTGTCACATTCAGTGACTTCCAGCCCCACCCCAACACACTGAGACTTATGGAAACACCTTATGGTACCATAAATCCCAAACACTGCCAGATCCAAACTCATCTTTTCTGCTTCTCCCTCTGACATGGCAGTGGCCTAAGTGGAACCTGGAGAGTGAGAGGCCATATCCCTGTTCTACCACTCACCTATCACTTGATGTCTTTGGGCCTCAGTTTCCTGACCTGTAAATTGGAGCAAAGAAAGCACCCACTTCCATCCTTTGTGCCATCAGTTAACTGAGTTAGTGAAGGAGAGACGCCTGAAGGAAGCATTTCCTCAGTATTCAGTCCACTTCTCGACTTGATCCAAGAACTGTTAGCCACTGTAGTCCCTAATTCAGAAAGTCCCAGGCTGTTCAGATGACTGTACTTTACTGTAACTCCTCTCTGGCTGCAGAATCCGGACCTCACCTGATGCGGCCTATTTATAGTCTGTTTCTCCTTTTTGTGAATAATCATAAACACCATTGCGGGAAGAGGAGCTGACTTGTGTTGGGCGGTGTACCAGCCCCTACCTGGTGTTCTGTGTGCACTGTGTCCCTGGTCCCCACGCTTTCCTTCTACCATCTGCCCCCCCTCTACAGGGATGGTGCCTTCTTGTTTTTTTGGGGTTTTTTTTAGCTTTTTGGGTCACACCCGGCAATGCACAGGGGTTATTCCTGGCTCTGCTCTCAGGAATCACTCCTGGCGGTGCTCAGGGGACCATATGAGATGCTGGGAATCGAACCCGAGTCGGCTGCATGCAAGGCAAACGTCCTTCCCACTGTGCTATCGCTCCAGCCCCAAGGAATGGTGCCTTCTTGGGAGCAGAGCGGCAACCAGTCTCTGTCCCTGCAGGATATCTCCACCACGTCTCCCTCCTATCTCCACAGCTCCTGAATGAATGTGGGGACTGAATTGGTGAATTAAATAATGGCAGGTAATGCGAGGCAGTATTTTTAGGGACAGCTAAAATAGTGGCGTGGGATAGATTGTCACAAGAACCATACTTTCTTCATCTCAGGATATCAGGGTGCGGGGGTTGGGGGGCCTACCCTCTTAAATAAGACAGATGGGCCAGGGCTGGAGTGATACTACAGTGGATAGGGTGTGTGCCTTGCACATAGGTAGTTGGATGTGATCTTTGGCATCACATATGGTACCCTAAGCCCACTATGAGTAACCCCTGAGCACCACTGGGTGTGACCCAAACAAAAAAACAAAGCAGATACCTTTGCATCCCCGATGGTGATAACTAATGTCCCACTGTACAGATGTGACACCTCAAGGCCCTGGGGAGGAGTGTGAATCAATAGGCACTTCCTCTGGGAGTATAAGACAGCTGTGCTTGGGAGAGAACATTCTAGATCCCAGAGTGGGCAGAGCAGCACTCAGCTCTGAGGTTTTTAATTCTTGGCTGCCCCCACGCTCTCTCCCTTCCCCCAACCCTTTCCAAGCTGCCCTCTTCAATCTCATTGAGTTTCTCCCAGGCATTCTGGGATGCTGCTGGGGGAGTGGAAACAGCGCTTTTCTCTCTCAGGTTCTGGGTGGACAAGCCTGTCTGGAGTGGGGCTCTGAAGGAGCCGTTTGTGCCTGGAGGGCTTAGTGTGTGATTCATTCCTGGGGAGACTGAGGAGCAGGTAGGGGCAGATCTGGAAGATGGAGACTGGGAGGGAGCTTGTGGGGGCATTCCCTCTAGGTGAGGGAGGTGCTACCAAGCTGGCTCAGACACCATCCAGCGTGGCTGAGTTCAGGAGGGGCTGCCCTTTGATCCTGGGCTTCTGCCTGAGCCCTCGGAGGTGGAGGTGGGAAGAGGTAGGGTTTGAGAGTCTGGGGGACCCAGAGGCCAGGAAAGCTTCAAGGGCAAATAATGGAGTGGTGCCAGGAAGAGTCTGTGATAGCTGGAAGGTGCCAGGAGGCTGACGTTCCCAAAATGCCTCCAGTGCAGCTGAGGCTCCTATGATGCTGCTCAGGAGCACCCCTGACTTTGCAGCTGGGACTTGTGGCCTTGCTGTGCTCTGCAGCTGCCTTTGGTTGTGACACCTCTTGCCCTTGTTCCCAGTGAGTTGTCTTCCCCCCACCCCCCGTGGGAATCTGAGCGAGTTTACCTCTATCACCAAACTGTGACCCAGGAACATTGGAAGTGGGCCCTGGGATTCTCTCAACCAGTTGGACCCCTTAAGGAAGAAACCTACCTGGTCCCGGGGTCTCCCAGCAGAACTGTTGGCCCCGTGAATTGTTGGCCCAGGATGGGACTCCTAAAACTCCCTGCAGGGAGGTCTAGGAGATAGCTCAGTGAGCTAAGCACAAACTTTGCAAGCAGGAGGTCTGGATTCCATCTTCAACACCCTGTAGCCCGTTGCCATGCCTGCACCATGGTAGTTCTCCCAGCACTGGGTTGGGAGCAGCCCCCCGCCCCAGCATGCTGGGTATGGCCCAAAAGCTCAAAGGAAAAAAATCTACTGGATGAAGTGTCAGAGAGATAGCACAGCAGGCACAGCTTTGCACACGATATTCCTGGGTTAGATCCCTGCTACCCCTTAAGATCTCCCAAGCCCTTTTAGGAGTGATCTCTGAGTATGGAACTAGGAGAAAGCCCTGAGTCTCACTGGGTGTGGCACCAAACCAAAGGGTTAACTGGATGAATCATCAGACAAAAATGGAGGGGGAGGTGGAGAAATAGTACAGTGGATAGGGTATTTGCCTTGTACACAGCTGACCTGGGTTCTATCCCCAGGACCACACATGGTCCCCTGAGCCCTCCAGGAATGACCTTTGAGCTCAAAACCAGGAGTAAGCCCTGAGTACTGCCTGCTATGGCTCCCTAACAAAAAAACGGGTAGGGGAGCCAGGTTCCTTCAGGAATGTCTCCAGAGCCAAAGAGGTAGTATAGGGGGTAGGGTGCTTACTTTACACACAACCCGCCTGTGTTTAGTCACCAGCACAATTCTTGAGCAGAACAAAACAAGCAGAACAAAAGGGTAGTTGATTGTGTGTCACTGTGTGCTGGAATTTGCTGAGTTAATGCAGAAAGGAAGCCCGGGATGAAGGACAAGTCTTGGGTACCAAGGGTGACCAGTACCCAGAGAAGGTCTTGCCTGCTAAGCTTGGCCCCAGAGAGGGGGGAGAAACAGGGAGATGTTCAGGGTATGGAGTCGGTGGGAAATCCATCAGCACATTTGGGAGATAAGAACCGATTGTGGCTCAGATAAGGGGGAGCTCAGCTACTCATTTGGACAACTGGTGTGGCCCCTGTTGGGGAGGTACTGCCTCTTCACCCATGGTACTTGGCACCATATGGCGTCTGGGCTGAGGGAAAGCTTCCATCTTGCTTGAAGTTACGACCTCAAATCTCTGTTCCCCTCTCTGTCTCAGGACTCCTCTCCAGACTCAGGTTTTCATGGGGAGATGTGCTGTGCTGCCTCTTGTGTGCTTGTCTGAGTCACTATTCCATTCATTCAATGTTCCAGGCCAGTCTTGTTCTTTTGTCCTGTCTTGCCTGTGTGTTTGGTTTGGGGACCACATAGTGGGTGGTGCTCAGTGGTCACTCCTGGCTCTGGTGAAGCTCAGGGATAGAACTGGGGTGGGCCGCATGCAAGTCAAGTACTTTACACACCTTGTGCTGCTCTCTGCGGCCCTTGCTTGCCCTGTCTGTGCAGTGTCTCCTTCTCTTATACTCTGTCTTGAGGTAACTCAGGCACTCATGCCTCAGGGCTGACCTTCATCTACCATGCCCACACAGAGGAGGGGGAGACAGACTCTGTTCATCATTGCTCCTCACGTGGGCAGGACTGCCATTCTCTCTGTTCATGTATGTTCACCTCTTGGTATGTGTGCGTGGGGTGGCTAGGCTGGGGATCCAGAGCCTTCTTAGCCAATCTCTGCCCCCCCTACCCCTGCTTCACGGCCCCTCTCACCAGATCATTACCTCAGAAGAGGCAGAACGGAGGGGCCAGATCTACGACCGCCAGGGCGCCACCTACCTCTTTGACCTGGACTATGTGGAGGATGTGTACACCGTGGATGCCGCCTACTATGGCAACGTCTCCCACTTTGTCAACCACAGTGTGGGTACCCTGCCGGTGGGTGGAGGGTTGGGTGGAGCCAGTGGGGCCTCTCCTCACACACCTGCTATATTCTCTCTTGCCCAGTGTGACCCCAACCTCCAGGTGTACAACGTATTCATCGACAACCTTGACGAGCGTCTGCCCCGCATCGCTTTCTTTGCCACTAGAACCATCCGGGCGGGCGAGGAGCTCACATTTGATTACAACATGCAAGGTGCGGGCCAAGGCCAGGGTTGCAGGGGACTCTGGGACGCGAGGCCCCCACCTCAGGGAATCTGATGGTTGCACTGATTGGTCTCCCCTCTAGACCCTATGGGAGAGGGGTATACTTCATTCCCAGCCTGAGAGGCTGCTCAGACTCCCAGTGAAGGGTGTTTGGCTACAGAATGAAGACCCTGTTCCTGATTCCAGTCTTATCCGAGGTTCCCCTGATGTCCCAACCCTCCCCATTCAGACACTTAGGCTACCCTGTGATCTGCAGCCCCTTCTTTATGAATGAGCAAGTCCTAAGGCACTTGGATGGGGATTGGGGGTAGACATCCTGTCAGAGGAGTTCAGGTCCCTCTCCAGATGCCCTGCTTGACCCCTTCATTCCCGACTCCTACTTTCCTAGCAGCCCCTTCGCCAACCCCTACCTGGCCAGATTCCTAACACTGGAACACTCCTCCAGTGCTCCCAACCCCCAGTCCTTGTCCTGATTCAAATTCAGACTGGTCCCCAGTTCCCCCCTCCACCCTGAGGTCCCTGGGTCTCTTGGGGTGAGGGCAGTGGGCTGCTTCCTTCAGACCTCCTAATCTATCCCTTCCTTGACTATGACCTTACAGTAGATCCCGTGGATATGGAGAGTACTCGCATGGACTCCAACTTTGGCCTGGCCGGGCTCCCTGGCTCCCCCAAGAAGCGGGTCCGTATTGAATGCAAGTGTGGGACTGAATCCTGCCGCAAATACCTCTTCTAGCCCATTGACATATAAAGCAAGACGGAACGTGTGGGCTTGTAGTGCCCCATCCACGACCTCCCCCATCCCACTGCTGCCTCCTGTCCAAGGAATGACTCCCAGGGCCTCTGCCTGCCCTACCTGCCAGGGCTCTTGGTGAAGACTGATTCCAAGGAGGCCCCTCTTCCTATCCCAGCCCACGGGTGGGTTGCACTTACAAATCCCTGCTCTAACCTTCAGCCGTGATGTGTTGTTTGTTTCCCCAACACCAATTTCTTCAGCAGTCAGGATTCACGGGGTGTGAAGGCAGTGTAGGGCATGAACCCCAGCCCAGTTCTGACCAGAAAGTTGTTTGGTTTTGCACCTGTTTTGGTCTAGAGTGTGAGGGGCTCTGCTACAGGCCTCTTCCTAGAGCCCGGAGTGTGTTGGGGTAGCAGCCCCAGGGCTGCTTGACATCCCAGCCAGTGTCCCTAGCCCGATTGCTTTTACCTCCTGCAAATCTGTGTGCTGGTGAAAACAAGGAGACTTCAGTGGCTGTTTTTGTTCATGCTCTCGCATGCTGGCTAGTGTTGGCCTTAGAGCCAGAGGTTCCCTCTTTCAGGCCTGTGCACCTGAGAGATGGCTGTCCCCAGGCCACTGAAGGGAGGAGGGTGCTTGTGTGGCCTGCTGATAAGTGACACCAGGGCATGTGCCAAAGGTTCTCAGGAACTCAGAGAGTGCTGGGACCCCTGCACTGGGATGTGAAAACTGCTGGGACTACTCAGCTGGCCCAGGATCTCGGATGGCTGAATATAGCACTTAGTACAAAAAACGTACATTTGTGTGTTGTCAGGCACTGGGAAGAACCCCTGGTCCACATCTCAGGGAAGCCTTGGAAACTGGAGGTGGATCCCAGGAGAGAGGTCCCATTTGGCAGAAAGCAAATTACAGGCCAGAAATAGGGGTAGGATTACCTAGTGGGAGTTGGGAGGTAAGAGGGAAACCCCCACTGCTCACGAGCCCCATACCCTTGCCTTGTGTGCTTCCTTGGGCCCACCAGTCTTGAAAGTTATCTCCCCACCAGAATCCAGAAGGTGAAGGCACTGATGGATGCCTTGCCCCTTGCTTTTTCTGCGAGGTCTTCTCCAGGAAGCCTTCATGATTATCTGTGCCCAGAGTACTCCCTCCATAAGACTGTGTGACCTGCCACCACATGCCAGATTTGTGCGTGTGTTTTGTGTATGTATGTGTGTGTGTGTTTGTGTGTCTGTGCCCCCTGCTCCCAGACTGACCAGGCATGGATGAATATGGGTTCTCTTGTTTTATCTCCTTTGGCCCTCCCCTACTTGGGGTGGATATCAATAAAAGTGAGTTGTTGTCTAAACAAAATGAAGTGTAAAGGCTGATGACCCAGGGCTGGGGGTCGGGCTTAAAGGCCAGGACTGGGATACCAAGGCTTGGAGCTTTCCCACACCTCAGCTGTCTGACTCCAACACTTCCCCATGCTTTGTCACTTGTACCAGCATCAATATAACTTTTTGACTGCAAATAAGCATGTTCAGTAAAAAAACAAAAAACAAACAACAACAAAAAAGAGACTGGAATGATAGTACAGTGGGTAGGGCATTTGCCTCCTATGCAGCTGACCTGGGTTTGATTCCCAGAATCCCATATAGTCCCCTGAGTATTGCCTGGAGTAATTCCTGAGTGCAGAGCCAGGAGTAACCCCTGAGTATTGCCAGGTGTGACCTAAAAAACAAAAAAAAAAAAGCATGTTCATCGTACTTCAATTTTCATATGGCATAAGAAAAGCAAACTAAGCTCATTGCTATATCTTAATTGGCAAATGGTGATATTATTCCATGAACAGAATCAGAGAAGCAAATGTAGTGGAGATTTAATTTAAAAAAGATAAAACTGTAATCAAAAAAGAAGAAAAATCTAGTGGAGACAGAAATGTGACGCAAGTCTAGCTGGATATCCCTGTCCTTAGAGAATTTGAACTCATATGTGCCAGGGTATGAAACAAGATATAAGGTCTCTTCCTTTTTTCCCCCTTTTTGTGGTGCTGGGGATCAAACCTCGGCCATTGTGCATGCAAGTCATGAACTTTCTCACTGATCCTTAAGGCTCTCAGACTTATTTTCACCCTTGATATGAATATATATGAGCCCTGGGTTTTTCTTTAGCTGTCTCATAGGCTGTGAGACAAGAAACCCTAAATATTTTCTCCAAATACGGGGATGGAGAGATAGTACATTTTGTAGGTGCTTCCCTTGCATACAGCCGACCTGGGTTCAGTCCCGGCACCACATTTGGTCTCCCAAGTTCCGCTAGGCGATATCCCTGAAGTGCAGAGCCAAGAGTAAGCCCTGAACATGGCTGGATGCAGCCCTTTCTCCCACAAAAGATCTTCAAATACTTTCCCCAAATCTTTTTGAGACCTCATACAAATAATGATACTCTACTGTCCAAAAGTTTCATATCCCTGGATATGCCTCTCCATGCAGCTCAGCTCATACCTGGACTCAGACCTCTGATAACACCCAGGCTAAGGTTTCCCTGAAACAGTGGGTCACAGAAGCTCAGTGTTGAGTTCCATTGTTGCCTGTGACTGTGGCACCCTCATCCCCACAAGCATCTGTGATGTTTTTCCTTCTGGGATAAAGAGGCACAGATATCTCTCAGACCTCATAAGCCTGTCTGCTGCTCTTCAAACTTCAGCGCCTCATGTCCTGCTCACCTAATCCTAGGCTGCTGGGAGACTTCATGTCCTCATTTCCTAAAGCAGACACTCCTGCCCTCATTCCAAGGAAAAACCCAGCCGATGTAACTGGAGAGTATATTGGGTAGGATGCCTATGGCCAATGCAGGTTTGATCTCCAGCACCCTGTGTGATCCCCTCAGCCTGTTGGGTGTTCCTTCCCCAACAAAAAGAAATGGGCAGGAGAGAGTACAGTGGGTATAGTGTTGTTTGCCTCGCATAAGGGTGACCTGGGTTCAATCCCTAGAACCCTATATGATCTCCCGAGCCTCCTAGGAATGACCCCAGAGCACAGAAACAGGAGTAAACCCTGAACACGCCAGGTGTGTCTTCTGCCCCTCAAAAAAGGAAAGCTAGGGCAGGAGAGATAACAGTGGAAAGGAAGGGCATGCAGTCAACCTGAATTCCAGCTTCAGAGTTCATGTGGTCACCCCCAGATGCCATCCTCATCATCCCATATGGTCCCTCAAACACTGCCAAGAGTAAGTCCTGAGTGTAGAGCCAGGAGTGACCCCTGAGCATTACTAGGTGTGGCCTAAAAACAGCTGAGGATTCACATCCCTGACAGCAGACTGCTCAAACGCCAGACACCGTGCACTTAGAAGCCAGACAGTATAGATCCTCAAACCACATGCTTTGCACTCAGACCCCCAAACATTTCTCAAACATCCTGGACAAACAAGATCTAAGGGCCAGGGGTGTGGCTCACTGGTAGAGCATCTGGCACCAATAGTTAAAAAAAAAACACTTAGCATCCTGGAGACGATTGCTCTAGAAGAGTGCCATGTTCATGCTCAAGCCTGCCATACAGACCCCAAAGAACTTCTAGATCTGGGCTGCTGGAGTCATAGTACAGCGGGTATTATGCTTGTCTTGCTTGTGGCTGACTTGGATTCTATCTGGGCATCCCATTTGGGCTCCTGTGCACTGCCAGGAATAACCCCCAGTACCAAGGTGTGCCCCCCAAAAAGCAAAAAGCAAAAAGCAAAAAAAAAAAAGCTAGATTTCACAGGCCCAAAGCAGACTGACATGTTCAGAAACTCCTACTCTTGGGAGACATTCAACTCCATGGACTTCAATCCTGTGAGACAGAGTCCTGTAAGGTTGAGTCAGGACGCCCCCTCAGATGACCCAATCCCTCAAACACCTGTAACCCTGGCACTCAAGAGAGCTCAGATATCCAAAAAGTAACAGATACACATGAAGCCTTGACTTCATGGCAGGAAATGAGGATCCACCGATTTCTCTGAGAACTCCCTGAGAGCCATCAGACCATGCTGAGGGCTAGAGTGATAGTACAGTGGGTGGGACATTTGCCTTGCATGTGGCCTACCTGTATTTGATTCCCAGCATACCATATGGACCCCTGAGCACCGCCAGGAGGAATTCCTGAGTGCAGAGCCAGGAGTAACCCCTGTGCATTGCCAGGTGTGACCCAAAAAAAAATCATGCCATGCTGAACCCTCACACTCTCCAGACTTCTGGGAGGATCCACGAACTGCCCACTGAGCAGGATGTTGCATCACATTAATCGGAACATACACCCAAAGCCAACTCCCTCACCTCAGTCCTGTGACTAAGACCCCTGTTCAGTGCTGACGCGTCCAGCCTGAATACAGATTTTCCTGCAAATAGCACAGCAGCTTCAACCCAGCCCCACAAGAGTGCACAGAAACCTAAAAATCTGCACCCACACCCGCCTCCCACTTAGAAACTTCATGTCCTCAGTGCCACTAACTCCAGGTAACTCAGATCACAGAGATCACATAGAGCCTCCCAGCCCACCCAGCTGAGACACTGCTTATCCTTGGCTCACATCCAAAGTAGAATTTTCACCCTCCAAATAGACCTCCAGTGACTGGAGCGATGGTACAGTGAGTAGTATTCTTGCCTTGCATGTGACCAACCTGGTTTTGATTCTTGGCATCCCATGTGGTCCCCTGAGCACTGCCAAGATTAATTCCTAAGTATGGAGCCAAGTGTGCCCCCCCCCAAAAAAAAGGAAAACCCCCAGGTGCTTCGAGTTAACAAACTTGACATCCCATGACAGCATCCCCTACCCCCACATCTCAGGCATAAGTACCTGAATACATCCTGCCCCCCACCACCTACGTACCTTAGAGACCCTAGATAGGGACAGAATCACAAACAACTCTCAGTTCTCCAGGCTTCCTCAGAGGAACTTCCTCACGTTTGGAAATACACAAAAACAAAAATGACCGGTGAGAAACTACAGAATGCAGGGCACTTGCCTTGCACTTGGCAGTCCTGGGTTGGATCCCTGGCACTGCATAAAGTTCCCCTGGTCCCACTAGGACTGATCCTTGAGTACAGAGCCAGGAGTCAAGCACTGAGCACTGTTGGATATGGCTGAAAAGCAAATTAAAAAAAAGCTCAGAGACCCTGACCCTGAAACCGACCTGCAATGAGTCAGGTACAGCGTAAGGTGAACACCTTCAAAAGGAAGAGATTTAACATCTGAAAATATTTCTCCAATAGGTCAAGAAACTTCCAAACCAAAGAGTCAGGGGCTATACATTTTAGGACAGAGCTTAAAGACACACATTAGAGAAACAGTCATCCCAACAACTCAGAGAACTCACCCTTGAAATGTAGATTTGAAATGGCATAGAACTTTTGAATCCAGGATGCATAACTCCTTCTGAGCCTTAGGGTACAGACACAAAAATATAATTCATAAAATTTCTGTGCTATGAGCAACATCAAGTAACTTAGAGGCCTCAAGACATAGTACTAACCCATCTTCCCCTAAAAACCCCAACAGATTGGGAACCTCACAGAACCCCTGGGACTAGCACAAAAAAAGTTCGGAGAATCAAAATTTGAGGAAATAACATACTCTCAAAGAACAGACCTTACACCCTGTGACATAGTCACTAAAAGGTAAAAAAAAAAAAACACAAGCCAGACACATGCCCACAGATATTTCAGAGACATTGCATCTAGGGGTATGGGCACACGAATAGATCCCAGACCAAGTTCCCAGGACAGAAGCACAGAAAAACTACTAGACACCTCTTCCATGCTGATATCTACCTCCAGACAGACCCAAGTGTTCTGATTTTTTTGTTTTTGTTTTTGGGCCTCACCCAGCAGTCCTCAGGGCTTGCTCCTGGCTCTGTGCTAAGGGATCACTCCTGGAGGTGCTCCAGAGACTATACAGAATGCCAGGTTGACTGCATGCGAGAAAAATGTCCTACCTCTGTACTATTCTTTCTGGCCCCAAGACCCAAGCACTCTATTTATGAAACAAAACCCAAGATGGGACATGGGACTTGCACACACACAAGGAGGCCAGGGACTCACATCCACAGACAGAAAACAGGGGTTCCCTCATATGCTGAAAAGATCCTGGGAGAACCAAGCATCTGAATTAGAGAAATCCAAACAGCCCACAGAGGGCACCTGGCTGAAAAACACAAGAACAGCCCCCCACCCCCACTCTTGGCACCCACAGGAACTTTTTTTTAAATAGAACATTTTTTAAGTAGGGGTACTGCTATTTATTCAGCCACTGATTATCTGATTGAATTGGGCATGAACTCCACCTTATTTTTTTTTACATTTTTTATAATTTTATTTGAATCACCATGAGAGCAGTTACAAAGCTTTCG